GGGGCTGTAGCCAAAATGAGTTTGTCTTTAAGCTCTTCATCCATTCATCCAAATTAGGCCTTAACATGCTTGAATTGCATGAATTGCATGAATTATGCTCTCTAAAGCCATCATTATTACCTAAAGCTCAATTAACTGAAAGATAAACACAAAAAGGATTAAAAGCACAAGTTTAACTCAAAAACATAACCAAATCATAAGCTAGAAGGGTACAAAATGATATACAATTATGAACCGATCACCACACACTCCCATGAACCATACATGACGAAAGGAATGAGCCCCAGATAATGGCATTGGCATATTTTTGATGAAACATTGAGCCTCTTCCAATAAACCAGCTCGGCCAAGAAGATCAACAACACATGAATAATGATCTAGGTCTGGCTGAATAACATGTTCATTGATCATTGAATTGAAGTAACGTCAGCCTTCTTGAATGAGATCGGCATGACGACACGAAGAGAGCAAACACTCTAAATAGCCGTCTAAAAGTTGTTGAGATAAAATATTGTAACATCTTGAATAAGTACCTAAAACTTGTTAGTTTTAGGATTGTTAGAATTGGCTTTCCTTGCCAAATGTACACTTTCATGCAATTCCTCTTAGCTCATCTTTAGAAGAAAATAGGCATTGGGTATTTGCTACAAAGTTGAAGTACATTGAAGAGCTTATGAGGCTACAAAACCAAGGTAATTGTGCATTCATTTATAATGGGCATCAATAGGAAAATCAGCATTTTCATCCATATACTTTGTCGAGATGACTAGTCATATAGGTCAAATCAGCATTTGTTACTTTGTTGAGATGACTAGTCATATAGACCAAATCAGTATTTGTTACTTTGTCGAGATGACTAGTCATATAGTCCAATATTTTCCAGCACGGGATTTTTTTACCAAGGGATGTGATTTTGCTTATTGTAAGTCTAATCATTGGCTGCCAAGTGTCCTTTTGACCTACCAAAAAGGCTGGGGCTGGTCTGGACTCACTATCTCTCTCATTTACAATTTCTAATATGTGTTTTTTTAGAGATAGAGAGAGAGAGCTCTAGTGAGAGACTAGGTATGGGGTTTGATTTTTGAGAGGCATTTTTTGTCTCTGTCAATTTTAGAGAAAAAGATTTTGAAATTTTTTGATTTTGCTATGCATCTTCTCTCTGAGAATGAGGTCTGCATCTTTGAGAGAGAGAGAGAGAGAGAGAGAGAGAGAGAGAGAGATCTTCTTCTTCTTCTCTGAATTTGCTGCTGGGTATGGTTTGAGTTTTCAAATAGCTTTTGAAATATGCTTTTATTTTCGAAATCTACTTTACCTATTGAGAAATTTTGAGAGTAAAACTTATACTCTGCATTCTCTAAGGTTTTTCATTGTGAGATTTTGAAAATGCTTTTTTAAAATCTACTATGCTTTTTATAATCTACATCTAGGTTCAGTTATGACTAGTCATCTTCTTGTGTATGCATCTGGGTTCATTATGACTAATCATCGTTCTTAGTTTGAATCAGATTCTTGGATGATTTCTTCAAGAGTATGGTTTCTTGAAGGAATTGACCCTTTCATCTCAGAATATATATTTCATTATGTTTGTTCGATCTGGAGCTGAGTTGCCGGTGCTATGGAGTGAAGGAGCTAATGGACTAGCTGCCACTTACACGACGGACTAGCTACTAACTCAACTAAGTTGGAGAAGAAGATTGCACAGAGGAGGGCCAGAGCAAGACAATATGAGATGGAGGCAAGCATTACATACGAGTACCACCAAGATAGACATACTCTCTCTGATTACATGATTCGTAATAATAGAGTTCGATCTCCACATGTGCATCAGAATCTCCGACATGATTTGATCGATCACCTTTGGGGGAGCTTTGGAGATAGTGAATGAGGTCGACAATTGTTTCAATGTGTGTTTTCTTTTGGAATAAAATTATATTTATGGAATTTCAATTTTTTTTGTCACATTGTTCAAAAAAATTAAATTACAAAGTTATTTAAAAAGATTAAATGAAGAAAAGTTATCTATAAAAAAATAATAATTAGACTTAAAACATTCTTATATAATTTAATAAAGTTACGAACTTAAAATTTGAGTCTAGAGTGTTAAGAAAAAAAACAGTTTGAGTCTGGGCAAAACCCAAATAGTTACTCTTTGAAAATTTGGGTTTAGCCCCAAATGGGTTGGAGAATGCCATAGCGGTTTTTTGTGTCTTCTTGGCTTTTTGGGTTTGGTGTTCAAAACGTGCCCCGGGTCATTTTCTTTCGGGTTTGGGTTTCACTTACCCGACTGTAACTTATTCGAAAATTTGATCTTAATCGTTAGATTGATTAAAATTCGGCGCCAAACAAGTGCAAGAGAGATTGACGGTGTGATCATGTGGTAGGCAAATTGCCGTGGATAATGAATGCGCAAATGGGCTTATGGTGGTACTCATCCGATTTTATTGGCTTGATTGTTGACATTGAAACTAAGGCCAAGTAATAATTAGTTTGGTTTGATTGCTTAAATTTGTCTATTGATGCATAGATTGGTAGGTAAATTGGTTGGGTTCAGAGGTCCATTACTGATTGAATTTTAATGCCCACAAGGTGTTTGAAAAATTTCCTGAGTGAGTGTAATATAGGAAAGTCATATCAATCTCATCTTAGAAATCCTTTGAGGTCCCAGTGAAGTTGGGATTTTGGTGCTTGAGGTCCCGGTGGGATTTCCTTTGTGGGCGTGGTAGTTGGAGTGGCACTAGTGGTTAACACCAATGCTTTGAAAGGCGAGGCGTTGATGCGAGATGTTTTACAATATTAAATCCTACACCATATGCATTGATTGAGGCTTAAATTCTACATCATATGCGACAATCCATTCCACCATAGGTAGCCAAAATGGATCATTTACAATATTAAATGAGAGTGCTCTAGAAAAGAAAAAACAACCAATCTTTCGACAAACTTCCTTTCTTTTTTCTTATTTGTATGCTGAATTTAATGTATTTTGCCGAGCTTCTAAAGTGATAAATCTATCCATTGGTCTTTTTGATTTAGATTGTGCTCTAAGAGCCTCATCAACTGCAACACTTCTAGTACCGGGGATTCTATATTTTTTATCCAATGAAGTTTCCATATTCTAAGCCCCTCCTCGTGGACCATCCCTAATCTCTCTAAGCATTTCATTTTTCTTTCTTTTTTCAAGTTGAAATTTTTTCTATATTCTTTATCCAATGAAGTTTCCATACTCTGAGCCCCTCTCACGCATGTGCCAATTGGTTTTTTTTATTTTTTTTTATTTTTAGTATTAAGAAAAGATAACATGGGTAATTATTATCTGATTTCGTTTTTAATTTTAATTTTTTTAATATAAAAAAAGTGAATTTACCATATTATCCTCATTTAATTTATAATTTCAATTCTTAATTTTTGAATTAACCAAAGGAATTTTCTGGTATTTTGAATGTTTCACCATTCTTTGCCTTTTACTTTATATATATATATAGATAAGTCCATGTGTTAATATATTAATTTTAAAAAAAGGATAAAAGAAAAAAGGTAAGTAGAATAGCTACAACCGGGCGGGCTGGATTTAGAAAAGACAAGAAAGATATTAATTCTTCTTGCCTTAAGTTTATTACAATAAAGGTAAGGGAAAAAAAAACAGAAACTTGCGTTTGTTATTTTCAAAACACTCCAAGTGAAACGACGTCGTTTCAGTTATAATTTTTTTTTTAAACGCAATCGAAACGACGTCGTTTCATTTAAAGTTAAAACACTGCAATCGAAACGACGTCGTTTCATAACAATAAACCTAAAAAACATACACGTGAGTCGTCTTCCTCGCAGAGTCGCAGCCAATTTGCAGACTCGCAAAATTTCTTCCGGTTCAGAAGTGTCCGTATCTGGCTCGCCTGGCCACGCCTTGCAACGCTCCTTACGCCTTCCCCGTGCTAAACGTGCAACTCGCGAAGCAGCTGACCTCCTCGGGCGATTTCCTGCCGCCTCGCTCCGACGCGCTCGCCGACGCGCGCGAAGGCATGCCTTTAAAAACACTGGTTGACACCCTTATTAGAGAGAGAGAGAGAGAGAGAGAGAGAGAGAGAGAGAGAGAGAGAGAGAGCGCGCGCGAAGGCATGCCTTTAAAAACACTGGTTGACACCCTTATTAGAGAGAGAGAGAGAGAGAGAGAGAGAGAGCTGGAAGAGGTTAGGCTTCCCTTTTTCGTGTGGGTGTTAATAATGTTTGCTTCAACTTCTGTAAGAGCCGCTTCTCGTTCTTCTCCGAGTGCTATCAAAAGGTACTCTTTTTTCTTTCATCCCTGTTTGTGGTATAGTTTGTTAATCATCTATTGGACTGTCATTGATCGTTCTTCCTAGAGGTTGTGTGATTGTAATAAAGTGCCTTGGCATTATGTTTACTTTGCTCTTGTCATTGTTGATATCCTATTTCGAAATTTTAAACTTTTGATTGTCTTAAGTACAGCCTCATGAAATTCTTCACCTTTTTCTGCCTTACACTTGCTCCTACAATATGCTTTGAATTTTCCTTTGCATTTCAAACACCACTGATGACAAATCACGTCTATCTTTTATACAGGGGCTCTTTTCTCTGGTTCAGTTGTGTAGCACAAAATGTTTTCGATCTCTCTTTGCCAACCATAACACGTTTTAGACAGTCTCTTTCTTGCAATATGTGTATGCAAAGGCAAAGATACAGTGTATTGATGTCTTTCTTAGAAGTTCCATGTGTATCCTCCTCGTTCGATTCTTCATTGGTGCGGAGATCAAATATTTTTGAGAGTCAAAGTGTTCTTAGAAACTGTCTGCCTGCTAGATGCATGAGTAGTACATCAATTGAGCTGAATACAAACAATGATGTTGTGAGGTTTTCATTTGGTAAGCCACTTGATAAAACTGGTTCCTCCACCAAAGGGAAGAAGATGGCCAAACGAGCTGAAGTGTCCAAGAAGGCCAAACTGAATGAACTGCGATTTTACCGTCTAAAGGCCAAGAAGAAGATGAATTCTCCTAATCCAGAAGTTAGAATTAGATACAAACTTGAAAAGGTTGGACCGCTATGTTATTTATGCACAATTTGATGGCACTATTTCAGGACTTGTTTTACGTTTTGGTGTTCCTGATCCTGTTATCGCTGTTTAATTGAGCTTTCTGGTTTTGTGTCTATCCTCTTAGGGCAGAGTTTGTAGTAGGTTTCATGAAAGTTTTGTTTCTTACAAAAGAATTTGAATTTTTACAAATTTTCCCAAGTTTATGAAAAAACGTTTTCTCAGTAACCTTGATTCTGGTAACCACAGTTTATGGTTACGGCTAATATCTCTTTTAGGTTTTCTATTTTTCTCTGTTCATAAATTTCTGCATTTCCTGGGACATGACCATCTCAAATTATGTAGGACAGAAGCAGTAGGCTACTGTCAGATTGGTGTAGCAGACCAAAACCACTCTAGAGGAATTTCCAGCAATAAGAAAACATGAAAAAGGAGATAATGAGCAATAGGATCGAAGTAGGAACGTCGATAATTGAGTCCTAAGACCCAAGAGGAACTCTGAATCTGATTTTCTGCATAAAAGGCTGTTAACAAAGCCTCTTGAAAGAGTATTTATACTAGAGCTACAGCAGCCATACCATCCTAGACCTTGATTAATTGAATAGTTACTTAATCCTAGCCCTACAAGATACTAAAAACCTCACATGATTATTTACAAAAATTAGGAGCAGAACTCTAGTCTACCAACTGAAATAAAACATAAAAATAAAAAGACAAATAATAGATAAAGAAAATAACTAAAACCCAAACTAGTTAGATGGCCCACTTAGCCTTGGAAAGCCTCTTAGATGCTCCTGCATCATCAAAACCTCTAGAAGAAAATATTCTTATTTTCTGCATATGTTTAGTTTCCCAAGTACGTATGTTTACTTGATCTCTGTCAACTTGTGTATTCTTTAGGCAAAACGAAAGGAAGCATGGTTGATTGAGAAGTTGATGAAATTTGAGGTTGCCAAAGCCCCTGCTGATATACATGATCCTGAAATTTTAACTGAAGAAGAAAAACATTATCTTAAGAGAACTGGTGAGAAAAAGAAGAATTATGTCCCAGTAGGAAGGCGGGGAGTTTTTGGAGGTGTGGTTCTAAATATGCATCTGCATTGGAAGAAGCATGAGACAGTAAAGGTTATTTGCAAGCCTTGTAAGCCAGGACAGGTTCAGGAATATGCTCAAGAGCTTGCTAGACTGAGTAAAGGCATTGTGATTGACATAAAATGTAACAATACTGTAATTTTCTACCGGGGAAAGAACTATGTTCAGCCGAAAGTAATGTCACCTGCGGATACACTATCTAAAAATAAGGTAATTTTCAGCTATCCTTAAATTTTTCATTTTTTAGAATATGGTAGTCAATGTATGAAAAAGTCAGGTTCTGGGCATCCTTATTTGATTGATTCACACACAAATGAAAAATAAAGGTTACAGTTGCCTTTCTGTTTGGAAAACTGCAGGCCCTGGAAAAATATAAGTATGAGCAGTCCCTTGAACATACAAGTCAGTTCATTGAAAAACTGGGGAAAGAACTGGAAGAGTATCACAAGCACCTTGCTCGGTTTAAGAAAGTAAATGAGAATGCAACACAAGATTCTTTGATCAACACATGAATGGTAAGGTATTTTTCTTTTGCCCCTCAAACTTTTATTTTAAACCTTTTAGTTCCTGTATGCATGAAATCATGAATGGTAAAGTATTGCTTATTATTACTTCTTTAAACTATTTTTTTATATGGTGTGCATGAGAAAAAGTCACCTGGGCTTATGGACTTTAAATTCTGGTCAGCTGTCCCCTGCCCCTTAGGCCACCAGATCATTGGTCAACGTTGGATTTGATGCTTGGTTTTTAGTTTTAGTTTTTAATTTTGTAAAAGAAAATACAATACAAAGCGACCTTGAAAGCCAAAGTTTTCCTGGCGAGAGCATTATACTTTTTACTGCTTCCAAAGCTTGGGTGTGAGCGAGCGAACCCTTATACATAACCATACTTCCACCGTACAACACCCCTCAGGCTTTCTCCTACACCATAATCCCCCTATAATCAGCGACCAAATACCTAGACAAGATGAAAGTCTCTTTGAAGCTTCTCTAGACGCCAAGTCACAAAAATTGTGATCTTAAACAAAGATGTAAACATGTATGTAGCCTGGGTATTCTGAAGTTTCACTTTCTCTCCTTTTGACAGCTTGCTAATTAACCCTTCTTCCAAACCCCAAGTCTCCTCTGCAGGTGCACAAAATTTGGCAAGGGACAGTGATTGGCAAAAGCTCCAAAATCTGAGTATCTGAAGTGCTAGCAAAACGACCCACAAAATCTGATATTGTGCCTTGCATGTGTTTGGTCTTAAGAAAAGTGCATGCATCCTTCATAGGGCTAGGTCACAATGCATTTCAATGATCGGGCCATCTATATTTTAGGTTACCCTTCAAGAGTTATCCCTGCAATCTGGCAAGTGCAGGTTATGAACAAATAAGTGTAGGGAACACGGGGTTGGATTGGAAGACTGATATGATTTGTAAGTTGCAATACCAATTCAATTATTTTGAAGTGTATGTGAGCGCATTACTTCTAAGTCCTAACCTATGCTTGAAGATGCAAAGTTTGGATGTCTTTGAATTCTCCTTCTCAACAGTTGATACTTTGAGGACGTGGTCTAGTAGAATAATAAGAAAGTCTCAAATGAGCTCACATGGAAGTAATGCTGTTCCTTTGGAGGTTTTGACATGAAGGGAACTAGAGGGTCCAGTCTTTGGATCTTAGGCCTCGTTTGGTACACAGGACTGTCTTGGCATGGACTATGCTTAAGGACTGTCATGGATTGGCTTGGCTTGGTTTAAGCTGGATTACATTTGTCCTATGTTTGGTGTATGCTTGGACTAGGACTAAGTTTTATTATCTTTAAATTTTTTAATAACAGGGGCAAAATTATTTTTTATTTTTTTAACTTTTCTTCTCTCTGCATCTCGTTCTTCTTCGTCTTCCTCATCCGCCTTCTCCATCCTCTCTCCTTCTCCTCTTATTCTCAGTCTTTTTTTTATCTGTGCTTTTTTTTTTATCTCGAAATTTTTCTCTCATTTCCTCGTTTACTTGTCTTCTCCTTTTCTCCCTCTGCTTGCGAAGCCGTCGTCGCCTGCAGCCCTAAGTCTAAGCTATGAGTCTTCGTCATCTGCCATTGGTGCCACCAGAAACCGCATGGCTGTGATGGTGGTTTTTCTTATCATCCGAGTTTTGAATGGAAGTCCAATTTTATACTTTTGGATTTGGGGCTGAGTTTTGAATGGATCTGAGTTTGAATGTTCTTGGAGTTGGATTTCTAGTCACATTTTTGTTGTTTCCCAGAAATTTGATGAAGACGCATGATGGTATCCATACAAGAATATGAGATGCATCTTCTTTCTGCTAGTTATTTTTGTTCTGGCTGCAATGGTGGGAGGTTTGGAACGGTTGCGGCACTCGACGATAACAAGGGACTATTTGTCCCCCCTTTCTACACGGGCTTAAGTAACACCACCTAAGGAGGTGTTTTTGGTGGGACCAGTACTAGTAATCCCACTTAAAATTAGTACCAAGTAAAACAAACATGGGATAAAAAGTTAGTACAAGCCAGTCCAAGTCTAGAAGGTGTACCAAACAAGCCCTTAGTATAGGGGATGAACAAGACCGCTAAAGAAATTCTATCATTCCGTATCAGGTGGTCCTCCCCCTGGTACAGTTTGCACAAGCTTCAGAATTTTTCTCTTATGCCATTTTAATTAAACTTAGTACTTTTTTATTTATAAACAATTACAATTTTAATTCAAATATTTAAGCCATTTCTTTATTTAATTCAAATCCCCCACCAAGCATAGTAGTAACCCAAGTCATTTCCTCTTTGGCACCGCATTCTTCACCAAATTTATAAAATTGAAATTGCATGCTCTTCGAATGGTTGGGGCTTAGCCGCAATGCAACATTCGAACAGTGGCAAATCTAGGTTTCACATTAGAGGGGTTCCTACACAAAATTTTAAAAAATAATTTGAATAGGAGCACTTAAGCACTACCGGTTATTAAATTATTACCACATTAACTACTCGTTTTGGCCCACTTCATAATATCTCTCTATATTGATTAGTATACTAATATATATCATCATAATTTCCTTGAATGTCATATTTTAAAACTATTGAATACTAATCTTATCATCTACACTATTAAGGACTAAAGTTAATAATTTATATCCCAACATAGGGAAGAAACACAAACAAAGGTTCATATATTCCAACATTAAGGTACCCAACTAAGACATTGTTGCTTCGATTCAGCTGCACCAAAATGGATTCAGCTGCATCCTCAACTTGTGATACTCGCAAGTGCACGAGCCGTTT